TCACCAGGAACAGCCACCGGAAATCAACTCCACACTCTTCATGCACAAGCACACCTACCACTGATCGGTGTAACTGGTTTAGTCTGACTGGTCCGACCAGTTCCATAGTATTTTTACGACCGGTTCAAGCACTTTCCGACCGGTTCTTGGCGATTTTGGATTGGTTCCTAGGGTACTTTGGCGTGCTGAGTCCATTTTTGGTGTTATTGTCCAGCTCACCTATTTCATGGAGAAATAAATTTTCATCACATTTTTTGACTTGATTTCACACTCTAATTGACTTCGATGTTAGCGATACTTGAGTTTGAGATGGGATATTAGTGCGAAATTAGGATATTTATTTATTTTCTATCTCTTAGAATTACGCATATATCTTCTTTGATTGTGCATATCACTGATTGATTATAATTGATATTAGGTTCATCTTATTACCTTTATCAATGAGCCTATTCTTATAAATAAGCTCATGTGCTCTTTATCAAAATCTATAGAAATATACAAAAATTCCTCAAATCTATTTTCCACATATGCGTGCATATATAAGAGGGGTTTTATTGAGGGCGATCAAGCCAGTCGATCTTAGCTTAATCATCATCGGTGGAGCCAAACGAAGCCAGATCTAGTCCCATCGAGGATGATATGAGCCAAACCTAGCCCAATCGAGGCTGCCTCAACCAGATGTTTGTGCTCCACCATTGATAGAGACGGAGCCAGATTTGGCTCCACCACAGGCGCATGCGAGAGATAGAGAGGTGTAATTATTTTGTGAATGTAACACTAACCAAAATATAAAATTTCTAAAAAAGCTGACCAATCAGATTTCCTCCAATTAGGTATAACAGTCTTATAAAAAAAATTCAAAGATCGTAGAGAAAAGACGCAAAATGAAAGAATTGACAAAAATAAAGAGATGTCATGTGAAGGTCCCCGCATCGGGTCCTTTCAACTTTTTTTTTTTTTTTTTGGTAAGGTGGTCCTTTCAACTTATTCATCGCCATTATATCCTAGTATCTCGTATCATTCTCGCATCGAAACCACACAACAAGCGAGTCCATAGCCCCTATTAACTGTTTTCTTTAAAAGGGCAAAAGGAGAAAATGCGAAGATTTGTACAGACTACTTCCAGCTTATCAGTAAACATTATGCATAAAGAGGGAGTACTCTCAATGGTAAATGATGTTATTCAACACAAGTCGGCCTAATTAAGATATGAGGACAAGCACATTGGAAAAAAGAAAATAAAAAAAAGCTGTCAAAGCATTAGCCCACCCATGCGTGAAATTGAGAGAGGGAGAGGAGATATAAAATGACCGAAATTGGTCTAGTACATCTCACATAGTTCAAGAATCGGACGGCCTTAAAAGGCTACAACCCAATACTCCGGGGTTGTAAATAGAATAGGGGTATTCCCTCTCTTTAGGGAAGAAAAATATTTGGAGGAAATTAAGGGTAGAGATCATGCGGGCACTGGCATGTCAAAATAAAGAATGCATCCGTGGAGTCTGCCCGACAGGATTGGGATAGATTGCGGAGGCCCCTATAGGAGATTCAATTCCCTTCTTTTTGTGAGATTACCTCTTAACCAAGGATCCAAGGGAAGCATTGAGAGAGGGAGAGGAGATAGAAATGACTAAAATTAGTCTAGTGCAACTTTTTTGCTACATCTCACATAGTTCAAGAAAAATATTACATAGACTCGGTTTATGTAGACCAATATCGTCATAGCTACTACATGTCGGCCCTATAGCGAGACATACATGATCAATGGTTAAGACGGTTTTGGTGTGCTTGGACTTAGTTTTTGTAATAACTTCTCCATATTTCATATGTGGAGGTGAAAAAGGACGGGCACATGAATGCACAAAAGAATGCTCGTGTGAGTGCATGCCTCTTTAACATTAGATTTGTGGCGTCAGCAATCAACACCCAATTTGAACGTCTATGTGATGTTTTATCTTTTCTTGACATTCAAATTCGAGTACGTATTAATTGTGCGGTTGCTATCAATAGTAATTAATCTAGTGAAATGTTAAAAGAAAGTTCCTCGAAAACTATGATGCCAAAAGGTGGACGATGATGATCTGTGTCCGACTTTATTCTCTTCATGTAGATGTAAATGTAGGTATGAATCGTTAGTTATAGATATTAGAAAGATGCAATGATTTATATTATAAAAACGTTGGTTAAGCTTCAGTTGGAAAGTTGAAAGCATATAACAACTTTCAGACAATAACGAAAATAATTCATGTATTACTACAACTATTCAAGTTTAGTCTCGAGCTTTTACTTTTCTGACAGAATTGATTCTTAAACTGATATTGGATAATGGTCTAATGAATTGTGTAGATCCATCAAACGTGGACGGAGCTACGGAAAGGAGGGGGTGGGGGTGGTTGGCGGCGGCAGCGGCGGGCTGAGCAATATGATGGTGGTGGCGACTCCGTCGAAGATGGCATTGGCTTCGTCTGGGACGGTAGAGGTGGCTGCCTAAGCGTAGGAAAGGGATCTGGTTTAGATGGGTTAAGGCCCCGTTTGGTTCAACTTTCCAAGTCTGGAAAGCCGAAAGCTAGCATTTGGAATGCCGAAAGCTCAAAGCTGGTCCAGACCAGCTTTGGGCTTTCGGCATTCCACAAATGCTGACTGTTTCCAAAAAAAAAAAAAATTCTTCAGCAAAGCGTGGCCGGCTAGGGTGGCCAGCTAGGGCGGCGAGGTCGCCCGACCCAGGCGACGGCCACTGGGGTCGGGCGACCGCCCGGCGCCGTCGCTGGGTCGCGCGACCCCAGGCGGTGACGGCCTAGGTCGCGCGACCTCGGGCGGCGGGCCGCTGGGGTCGCTCGACCCTAGGCGACGACCGCCCGGGGTCGTTCGACCCAGGCCGTCGCCGCCCGGGTCGCGCGACCTCGGGCGACGGCCGTGCGGGTAGTTCGACCCAGGCCGTCGCCGCCCGGGTCGGGCGACCTAGCGGCGACGGCCTAGGTCGAGCGACCTCAGGCCTCCTTGGGCGACGGCCGCCGGAGCCAGATCTGGCTCGCCGGCGGCCGTAGCCCTTCGCCGGAGCCGGCTGCCGTAGCCCTTTGCCGGAGCTGGCGAAAGGTACTTTAAAAAAAAAAAAACCTCCCAAAGCCCATTTGTAAAAAAAAAATTACCAAACACAATTACATTTCTCCAAGTGACTTTTAAATGATTTTTTACCAAACATCACTTACATTTTCTCAAGTGACTTTCACCTAAAGGTATTTGCATTCCCCCAAGTAGTATTTTATAATACATTAACTGCTCCACTACACACCACACCAATACTCATGATACACGGGACTTCTCTAACACAACTTGTATGTGCATTTCAATATCCTTCTAAAAGGGAAATTGCATGTTTCACGGGTCTTCATCAAATATCCTCCTAAAACTAGTTGTGAAAGTGCGATTGAGTTCTAAAACTTTCAAAAGTGCAATTAAGTCCTACCATTTATCAAATTTGTGAGATCGAGTCCTTCTGTAAACTCCGTCCAAATAGGCTAGTGAAAAATGCTGACGTGGCTTTTTTATAATTTTCTCTCTCCTATGTGGCTTATTAAATTATTTTATTTCTCCGATGTGGCATTGACCTTACTAAAATATGAAACATAAGACTAAAATGATGCTGTTTTGGTCTAAATCTTCATTTTTTTAACCAATATCATAATTAAATTAGATTTGAAAGAAAAGCTAATTTTTCTTTTAAAAAAAGGCCTCATCGGCCCTTTTCGGCGACACTGAGGCAGCGACAGAAAGGACCTGCGGTCTTAGCCTTTTGTATTTTTTGTGTTCTGTTTTTTTAATAGAAAAATTAGCTTTTTTTAAATTCTATTTTATTAAGATTTTGTTTAAAAAATTAGAATTTGGACCAAAATGATGTCGTTTTAGTCTTATGTAAATAAGGTCAATGCCATATAGGAGAGAGAAAATATTTTTAAAAAGCCACGTAAAAGAGAAAAAATAATAAAGATAGCCACGTCAACTTTTTCCATTAATCTAATATAACGAAGTTAACAAAAACGACTCGATTGCACCAATATATCAAGTTTTAGAACTTGATTGTGTTTTTTATAAGTTTTAGGACTCAATCGTACTTTTATGATAAGTTTTAGGACTTCCGGTATACTTATTCCATTGAACTTTTAATTGAAACCATTGAGTTTTTGTCGATCACAACCATGCAAAAAGCCGCGTAACAAACATCGAATCTTGTTAACGAGTGCCTCGAGCACTGTTATCCATAGCTATCAAAGAAGTATTTCCATTTTTAGCACACTGACTACACATAACACAAAGCAGATAATGCATTGAAAATGACAACCTTCCTTAATTACATGCGTTAACCTCCTCTACAGTATCTTCACCACAGTAGAGTTTAACCATCAGGATGGATTGATGTGGTTCTTCTGCACCTAGGACACTAATAAATCAAATCATGAATGAAGAAAGGCACGAGTGAAAAGCATATTAACTAGTGATTGTGAGGCCCCAAATTTCGACTAGAGGGGACACTAAAGGCCTCTCCCCTTCCATTCCTTGGATAGATAGAGAGGGGTAGAGCTTTTGGTTTTTTAAGTTGTCAAAGAGTTAAATAATGAAAATAGATGGCGAAGATTTTAGTAAAGTAAATAGCAGAATTGTGGATAGGGAAATATACAAACAACGGGATATGAATAGCGTAAGTGTCATAACTTCGTACGGCGCTCACTTGAGTGCCATAACTTTTTTTTTCGCTCACTTAAGTGCCACATCGGAGTAAAATCAATCATTTGAGGGCCATTTCCGGCAAATCATCCTGCGTGGATTTTTAATTAATTTTCCATCCGACGTGGATTTTTTAATGTTTTTTTACTTAATTTTTTTGAATATTTCTTTTTCTTTTTCTTTTCCTTTTTTTTTCAAGGCTGGCAAGGGTCGCCGGTGACCCTTGCTGGAGGCCTCGCCCTCGGCCAAACTGGACGAGGGCCGCCTCACCATCGGCCGATATGGCCGCGCAGGCCCTTGGCGAGGCCATCGCGGCCTCGCCAGCTGCAAGCGAGGCGGCGAAGGCTCTCGCCAGATCTGGCGAGGTTGCCTCGCCCGCGGCCGCGAAAGCCCTTGGCGATGCCATCGCGGCCTCGTTAGTCGCGGTTGAGGCGACAAAGGCTCGCGCCAGATCCAGCGAGGATGCCTCGCTCGCGGCCACGGAGGCCCTTGGCGAGGCCGTCGCGGCCTCATCGGTAGCGGGCAAGGCGATGAAGGCTCTCACTAGTTATGGCAAGGCTGCTTCGCCCGCGGCCACGAAGGCTCTCGCCAGATCTGGCGAGGCCGCCTCGTCCGCAACCACCCAGATCTGGCAACGGCCTTCGCAGCCGAGGGCAAGGTGGCCCTCGCCCAATCTGGGCGAGGCCTTCATAGCCGGCGAGGGTCGCCGGTGACCCTCGCCGGCACTGAAAAAAAAATTGCAAAAAAAAAAGAAAAATAAAAAAATATATTTAAAAATTGTCCACGTTAACTCCGACGAAGCCACGTAGGATGACTGACGTCCACATCAAATTTTCCGAAGAGGCAAATCGCCGATGACACTAAAGTGACCAATTTTTCAAATTTGTGGCACTCAAATGAGCGAAAAAAAAAATTATGGCATTCAAGTGAGCGCCGTACGAAAGTTATAGAACTCTTAGGGCCCGTTTGGTAACGTGCCAAATAGTGAAAATTTCTGTTCTTTTGTTCCCAGAAATAGTTTGGGAACAGAAATGCGTTTGGTAAACTTTTTGTTCCTCGGCACATTTTTGCAAAAATTTGTGCCGAGAAACAGTTTTGGAAGAGAAACAAGAAGTAAAAAAAAGTTGCTTCTTGTTTCTCGGCACAATTTTGAGAATCAGTTTTTTTTCTTCTTTTTCTTTTTTTTCTTTTCTTATTTTGTGGTGTTGTTCTTGGCTGAGCCGGCCGCCGGCGACCGGCGTCCGGCCACAGCCCAGGGCCGGCGAGGGTCGCCCTCGCCGGCGAGGGCGAGGGCTGGACCCTCGCCGCTGGGCGAGGCGGCCTCGCCTAGAGACGGCGAGGCTCGGCCTCGCCCGAGACGGCGAGGCTCGGCCTCGCCCAGATCTGGCGAGGCCGAGCCTCGCCGTCGCGACCCACGGCGGCCGACCTCGCCATGGGTCGCGACGGCGAGGCTCGGCCTCGCCGTCTCGGGCGAGGCCGCCTCGCCCAGCGGCGAGGGTCCAGCCCTCGCCCTCGCCTCCGCCGGCGGCCGGCGCGGTCCGTGACGCCCTCGCCGGCCTCTGGGTCTGTGGCCGGTCGCCGGTCGCCGGCGACCGGCCATGGCCAAAGAAGAAAGTAAAAAGAAAAAAAAAATTTAAACAATTCAAAATATTATTAAAATATTATTTGGGAACAGAAATTTTGTGTAGTTACCAAACGCATTTCTGTTCTTTTCTACTCTAGGAATAGAAATTTTGGACATTTATCAAACGCCTTCAAATACTCAGAAATTGTTTCCGGGCACAGAATCAAAAAAAATCATTTATGTTCAGAAATAGCGCCCGGGCACAGAATGGTATTCATGCGCACCCTTAGTATTCTTATTCCTACAAACAACCTACCTAATTTTATTGTCGAAATTTTGATTGGACTAAGCAAACTAAAAACACAATTTATTGAATAAAGAAAGAGATTATTTGATCTGTTTTCGTATCGCTAGTAATTATATCACAATATCCAAAAATGATACATAGGTTCAATCCATGAATACTTTCTCACTGCAAGTAATCACATCCCGTGAAATCTTACTTCTTGCAATGTCTTAAATGGCTAAAAATTCTGAGGTGACTTGTTGTGCAAAGAGGAAAGACAGCAGCCAGCCGAGGTGGAAATGACGGTGGCGGCGGCAAAGACGGCGCCGGCGCCGCATGGTGGTGGCGAGATGTAACAAGAGAAGGTGGACTTGGTTTTCGCATTGCTTTGTGGTGATATTTTGAAAAGTGGGAAACTCAAAACAAGGTATTATTAGAAAATCCCGCTTCAGCATATTCTAAGGAATCTAATTCTGCAAGCAATGTAATTCTAAATTTAAACTCCTTTCCATCCCACATACTATTATATGATGCGAGGGCAATTGCCCCCATACTTTTTGAAGACCTACTAATATATCTTAGGCTTTTGAATTATCTCACTTGTTTTTTTTTTGGGGTAAGAAGAATTATCTCACTTTTGCCCCCACAAGAGTTCCAAAAGGCCTACAAGACAAGTTTACTATTGCTCATTTCCATTTTCCTTTAATTTTTTGCTGGGAACCATTATAGTCAACCGTAGCTATCAGGAAATAATTGATTCACTAACCAATTTTATTTGTCATTGCACATATAACCCATCTTTCTAAACACAAAAGGCCCCACGGTATTTACTTAGATTAATTGAAAAAATAACATAATTAACTCTTTAAGTTTGCCATTTGGATTTGTAAAAATATATCATTGACTGTGAAGTTTGGGGCCCACCTAAAAAGTGAGTGTGGATCTGTCCCTGCCTAAATCCGCCCTAAAAGTGTACTTTAATATTTATGTATTGTGCTTCAATCAATCTACTCATCGTGTCACCCATAAATATACTTTGTAAACTGCACGCGGAAGAATCTTTCCGCAAGTTCTCCTGTATCACACAGTACATTCCAGTATCACACAATACATGCATCTAAATTTTGACCTCACTTATGCTAGAAACGAGAAAAATTACCAAAAAGGCTTAAATTTATTGTAATTGTACCAATTCAGTTCTAAATCAGTATTTGTACCAATTCAGTCATACACATTTTGCATTTGTGCCAATTCAGTCTATCCTGTCAATTTTGGCCAGCCCACACTAGCCGTCCAACCAATGCTAACATGGCTATTTTTTAATATATTTTTATTTTTTTCAAATTATTTATTTATTTATTTATTTCTTTTCTTCCTTCTTTTCTTTTTTCTTCCCACAGTGGCCAGCGAGGTCGTTGGCCATGATTGCCTGCGGCCGGTGAGGCCCTGGCGACACAGGCGAAGGCAACCATGGCCTCGCTAGCTGCGGCCAAGGCCGACGAGGCCCTGGCGAGGTTGGCCTCACCCAGATCAAGGCGAGGCCACCTCGCGCCTAGATCGCGGACTACTGTGGGGAAAAAAAGAAAAGAAGGAAGAAAAGGAAAAAGAAAAAGGAAAGAAAAATAATAAAAATTAATAAAAATTTTGAAAAAATATTTAAAATTTGTCAGCGTCTACGTTAGCATTGGCTGGCCAAAATTGACACAAATGTAAAAATTTTAGGACTAAATTGGTACTAGAAAAAGGTTTAAGATTAAATTGACATAATTACAATAAATTTAAGATTTTTTTGATAATTTTTCCTTTAAAAATGACGTTTATACTTACAGATGGCACGTGGAATCTAAACATGGTTCACCACATAGAATTCAGGAGACAATTGCCCTGACATTCCCATCAGAAGTCTAATATGGATCAAGATCACTCCACAAGTTCCTAGAGCTCATCTCCTTAGCCTCCTGATCTGAATTTATATATTGGGTAGCTTTTGGTTGAAAGCTAGAGCTACTTGGCCTCCTTTTCTTGTAATTATCCGGACCTTTTTCTCTAACAAATTGATTGACAATAAAAAGATTAAAGAGGAAGAAAAGGACAGGTTTCTTTTTGTGGGTATTTCTTTTATTAAGGTGCTATCGCGTATGGATCGGTTCACATCAACTTTCCACTCCATCTTTTTCCTCCTACTTTCAATGCCATTGGCTACAAGGCACAGTCACCTTTCGGTTTGTGTGTATAGAAGACCCTTAATCAGGACGTCTCTATCACATAATACATGGGGTACTATTCGCTCGTCGGTGATGAAGTAATAAAAAAAATTGACTGATAATTTGAGGAATTACCCTTTATCAGGCTTGACTTTAGCTCCTTCGTACCGAATGGTAATGAAAGTTGTAGTTATATAATGGCAGAGTTCGGCGAAGTTCCGTTGCATTAGATATGAGAACAGAGTCGTTAATTTAAAAACAGAGTGCATAATGATATATTATAATTAAAATTTTAGTCTATTTAATGATTATGAACGTTATATCGTTGGAGTTATGATAGAGTGAATCACACTAAGTGTAAAATGAGTTAAAAGAGGGATGGAAATGACGTGTCGGCAATTTAGTCATCATTTAATAACTATGTGAAAGTGATTTAATAATTTTTTTTCTTAGGTCATGAATAGTCTAGTTAAAAGAGGATGAATTTATATATCGGAATATTTTTAATAATTTGTGACAGAAAGAGGGATGCACTGTGGATCTTGAGTAATAATTTCGGCCAAACCATAATTTCTGATTTGTTCTATATATAGAGAGAGAGATCATTCCTCTTGTTCCATCTTTCACGGATGATCGGTCCTCGAGAAACTAAGATCGTCTACTAAACTAATTATACTCAATGGTAATCGAAAGCGTAAACAAATAAGATCCTACATAAAGCGGTTGACTTATTTAGCATCGAATATGATCCTGCCAATCACTTAGCATTTAAATTTCGGTAAAAAGATCTAATAAGTTGAGCATCCTTCTTCATGGAAAATATGCAATGCTTTGTTCCTTTGGAATGGATAGTTTACCGCTTTCACATTACACCCATGGTCGCCGTGTCGTAGCCCCCTATCACCCCCAGACCAGCCCCCGCCTCATGGCCGAGAGCCACCACCAGCGGCGCTTGTCTCTACCTACATCTCCACCTCTCTCTCTCTCTGGCCAGTGTCAATGAGAGCTCGATGCCGGATCTGGCGAGCTCAATGCGACAGATCCGAGTCCATCTTTGCCATGGTGTGGAGCTCAACCCTTTGTCAATCCCGACCATGACAAACGGAGAGGGCGGAAGGGAGGGAGAGAGAGATATGAGCAGATTAGGGTTTGCATGTGTGTGAAGAGATCAAGGAGACGGAAGACGAGAGAGAAAACAAAAGGATTGAGATTATTCTAGGTTGTTTAAATTGGTGAATAGATTGGTTACTTTTAGATGATCAAAACTAATGTGAATGACAGTCACATATCCTAACAAAAAGCATTAACGTTGTAGCCCTACTGCAACAAAACCTTTCCGAAAAGAATAGAAGGTCTCTTTTCTAATGTTTCAAAACTTTCGAATCATGTCTTAGGAAAGAGAAAAGGCGATGCAAATAACATGGGTAGAAAGAAAATAGAGAGAGATTAGTCCTATCCAAAATGGGAAAATTACCCAATCAGTTGTAAAACATATCAATTTAGTTCTAAACTTTTCAATTTTACCCATTTAGTCCTAAATCTTTGCCCAAAATTCTAACATAGTTCTTCCAATCAATTATAATCAGAAATAGAGCACAAAAAAAATTGTCATAAAAAATTGCCAATATGGCTATCTATTCATTGTCGTCCGTCCTACATGGCACACTGCCACGTTGACGATTTGAGGCGAATTTTGGTGAAAATAGATTATATTGAAATTTGAGCAAATGTTTAGGACTAAATGGACAAATATTGAATTTACATCCGTATATTAGGTTTAGGATTAATTGGACAATTTTTCCTATCCAAAATTGATGCCTAAGTTCAAGCTCTTCGTATGATTTATCAAGGCAAAAGTACACCACAAGTGCCATAACTTGTGTACGGCGATCACTTTGGTGCCATAACTTTTTTTCGGATCACTTTGGTGCCAACTTTTTTGAAAATCGATCACTTTAGTGCCAATGCTAACGTGACTCGCCGGAAATCCGATATGGCGCTGACACATCTCGCCGGAGAGGTCCACGTCTCGCCGGAGAGGTCCAGTCAGCATTAAAAACCAAAAACGACGCCGTTTAGCTCGCTGACGTGTATTTTTTTTAAAATATTATAATTAATTAATTAATTAATTAATTAATTAATTTTTTTTTTAAAAAAAAAAAAAAAAAAAAAAAAAAAGCCCTGCAGCAGCGGCGAGGGAGCCCTCGCCGCTGCTGCCGCCAAGCCACCACCGCCGGGAAGGGCCGGCGGTGGTGGGCGCAGTGGTCGGCGAGGGTCGCCGGCCCCTGGCCGGGGCCCGACAACCCCCGGCGACCCTCGCCTCGCCGGCGAGGGCCCGATCCGGCGAGGCGAGGCTGCGCCTCGCCGTTGCGACCCAGGCAACGGCGAGGTCTCCCCTCGCCGGGCGAGGCGAGGGTCGCCGGTCCCGGCCAAGGGGCGGCGAGGTCGCCGGTCCCGCCAAGGGGCGGCGACCCCGCTGACCACTGCGCCCACCACCGCCGGCCCTTCCCGGCGATGGTGGCTTGGCGGCAGCAGCGGCGAGGGCTCCCTCGCCGCTGCTGCAACACCTTTTTTGTTTTTTTTTTTGTTTAATTATTATTATTTTTCTAAAAATTAAAAAAATTCGAAAAAAAGCCACGTAATTTCCACCGTGTACAAGTCAGACCATTTTTTTTAATATAAATGCCATGTCAGCTTTTTGGCCGGAGTCACTAAAGTGATCGATTTTCCTCCGACTTGGCACCAAAGTGATCCGAAAAAAAGTTATGGCACCAAAGTGATCGCCGTACACAAGTTATGGCACTTGTAGTGTACTTTTGCCGATTTATCAATAATTTGTATCCCTTCGATAACTAATTGAGTTAGAAGTTTATAGAATAGATGCTCAAACATATCTTCTTGCTTTTTCATATTATGATACTTTTTCCAGCCCTATATATCTAATTCTTTGTGGCACCCCCTTTGAGCTGATGATCTTGCCACCACCTTGGTTCACGCCAATCATAATTCTCCCTGATAATTCTCCCTACAATTTTTTTTTCTTCTTTTGTCTAATTTTTTTAACAAGAGGCCCGACCCTCTTAGACTCTTTGAGCGGGAAAATACCAAAAAAACCTATTAAATTGGTGTCAATTCAATGTTAAACCTTTTAATTGGACCAATTTAGTTCTAAATAATTTTACATTTTGCCAGTTGAGTCCATCCGACCAGTTTAGACCGAAAATTACTAATGTGGATACTAGCCATTCTATATGGCACGACTAACGCTAACGTGAAATTTTTTAATAATTTTTTATTTTTTTCCTTTCTTTTTTTGGCTGGGGCGAGGGTGGCCCTCGCTAGCGCTCACTCTCGCCCTGGCAATGCCCCGCGAGGCTGCCCTAGCTTGGTGAGGGTTGGCCTCGCCCTCGCCAAATCTAGCGAGGGGAGCCTTTGTTGACGCTCACCCTCACCCAATTGAGGCCCATTGAGGCTAACCCTCGCCTGTCACCCTCGCCGGCCATGACCTGTGGCCGGTGGCCGGCGACCGGTCATTGGCAAAAAGAGAAGGGAAAGAAAAAGAAATAAAAATCATTAAAAAAAATGCCCGCGTCAATCCTGGTGTCGGCTATGGCATGTAGGACTGCTAGCATCCACATCGGTGATTTTCCAAATAAACTCAATTCGCAAAATGTGAAAATGATTAGGACTAAATTGATCCAATTGAAAGGTTTTTTATTGAGTTAGCATCAATGCAATAAGTTTAGGACTTCAGTAATACTTTTCTTATTTTTAACGACTTGACTGTTTCCTCGTTCCATGTAACTACAAAAGTACACGTGTTCGTGCTCCTGATAATAACCCTAAACTAATGTTTAAAGCATGATGATTCGAATTCAGGTTAAAAACGAGAAAGTTATGTCCTTACTAACGAAGCAATCGCCGTGGCTATGCAAGCCCTAAGGTAAGGTCGCTTTCTTGATGCAAGACACGAAACTTCCGTCGACCTACTTTACCAAAATTAATAAACACCGGTGAATCAGCCACCAAGGCAAGAAAGACACATGCTTTACAAAAGAAGCTGCCCTTTCCTTTTCCTCTATTTATAATTTGCTCAACAAGCCATAAGGTCCACGGATTGCTGAAAATTGGGGACCGCTGATTAGGCTAATCCCGATGGCATCACATTAATTAATGTACAAAAGTGAGATTTACGTAGCCGTACGCTTCCACCGAGAGAGGAACGATTCAATTTCTCCCCCAATGAAATCGTGACACCTAACGAATTTTGGCGAGGACCTATCGAGACAAAATAAATGTACAAGGACCTATCAAAGTTAGGTGACAAAAATAAGAAACATTTCAGTGCCTAAAAACCCAATTGAAGATCAGACGTCCATTATCGTAGTGGCAGCCATTGTCCTGTCTAATGTACACGCCTTTTCCTTTTTGATTATAAATCATATAAATCGATAAAGCAGCGTGAATGGGGTGAGGCCTACCGGAAGCGTGTCGAAGTGAGGCACGAGTCTATCAACTTTTCCCGGGCCAAAAAGAACCAAGAAAAATTTACATAAATGAAATGAAATTTAGATGAGACAAGCGATCCGCACGCCACCCTCGAAAGGAATTAGTAAATTAAAAGTCTAAAAAGTTCGTCCTGAAAAGGATGCTAAAGTTGGTGCTCGTGTTAATTAATCATGGATTATGGTGGCGATTGCTTGTTTAAAGATGACCAGCAATCAATGTATAGGAAAAGATTAAAATAATGAGTGTTGACCTAATTTTGCTTGGTGTCGGATTTTCCAGGGGCTAATTTGGAGTCCCATCCCGTCCACTCAAAAAACACTCGTGGTCCCTTTAGGGGCGGCTCTAATCGATGTCAAACAGTCAAAGTGGATGACTGTGGGGATTAAGGGCCCGTTTGATTCAACTTTCCAAATGAGACTTGGAAAAATGCAAATGCCTTCAGGTTAAAATCTCTTGAGGAAATGCAAATGGCATTCGGTAAAAAATCCTTTGTGAAGCTATTTTGGCCTAAGTAGTATTTGATAAATTTTTTTCGCAAAGGGCTTTGGGAATTTTCTTTTTTATTAAAAAAATACTTACCCTACCCTTCATCGGAGCTAGCGAAGGCTTACGGTCACTAGGGGTGAGCAACTTGGACCGCCCAAACCGGGACCGGACCGGACCGGACCGGACCGACGAGTTTGGTCCGGTTCTCGGGACTATCGGTCCGGTTCCCGGTTCCTAAAAGCGGAACTGGTTTCCGGGCGGTCCGGTTCCCGGTTCCAAGGGGGAACCGGACCGGACCGGACCGACTATTTAATATATATTTTTGTAATTTTTTTCTTTAAAAAAATTAATAAAATGTGAACTAAACTCTAGGTGAACTTCATTATCATAAATTCATTGATAAAAAATAGTAAAATGTGAATTAAACCCTAAGTGAACTTCATTGACATAAAATAAAATTAGTAAAATGTGAACCAAACCTTAAGTGTTTGACAAAAAAAAAATCCTAAACTCTAAGTAACCGGTTCCATTGGACCGGACCGGAACCGGACCGGACCGTCGGTCCGGTCCGGTTCCCGGTCCTAGAATCAACCGGTCCGGTCCGCGGTTCCCAAAATTGGGAACCGGTTTTCTCGGTCCGGTTCCCGGTTCCACCTTGGAACCGGACCGGACCGGGAACCGCTCACCCCTAACGGTCACTGGCTAGCTAGATCTGGCACCGCGAGCCAAATCTGCCGACGGCAACCATCGCCCGAGGCCTGACGACCCTCGGCGAGGGTCGTGCAACCCGCCTGGAGTCACGCGACCCAGGTTGGTGGCACCTAGGCAGTCGCGCGACCTCAGGCGGCCATCGCCTGGGTCGTGCGACCTCGCCGGCCCGATCCAGTGTCGGCCGTCCTCACGCAAAAGATGAATAGTAATAAGAGGGGCAAAATCGGAATAAGCCAGAATAAGTAAGGATAGTTTTGAGGCAAAAAAGTTGATTTCAGCATTTGCCAAATGCTAAAAGCCCAAAGCTGGTCCGGACTAGCTTTGGGCTTTGAGCATTCCCAATGCTGACTTTCGGCCGAAAGCCCATTGGAAAATGCTTGCCAAACGGTTTAGCATTTTTCCAAGGGGCTTTCGGCCCAAAACTGAACCAAACACCCCCTAAGATTGCCATGTGTCGCGAACCCAGTTGAGCCTCGGGAGTGATTGATCTATGTCCCTCGGACGGGATTTTGACTAGGGAATGTGCGAGGCGAGCGCTCTTCAGGTTTGATGATTGGTCTTCGCGACTTTTACAAAGTCGATCGAAATTGAATGCGAGGTTCTTCATACGGACTTTCACTGTTGTTGAATCAGCTTATCGGATGAGTTGCGATTCGATTGGGTAGATTGGTCATTGTGTTATTCTTTTGTTTGGAGAATAGTAGTTACGACGGCGGACACAAGCATATAACATCTCGAAGCTGCACAACCACTGCTGAATGATCGTCGTTTTTGCCTAAGGACAGCAACTACCACGATGGCGTCATGACTATGAGATGAAAGAGAGAAAAACCTGTCTCTATCTCATCGCTCCGACAACAGCATTAAAAGCATATGTTGGGAAAACAAATTTCCACATTTTTTCGAACGCAATGTTAAGTTTTGACTTAATGTTTTCAATGCTCCTACTTCTTACCCTTACACCGGTCATCCTGTTCACCAGTCATCTTATGGCGTGGCCGAAAAGCGAGTGAAAGAAGGCGTTGGTGACTAAGGTTTGCTATGCATGTCCAGTTTTCTCAGGTTTCGCATTGGCACGGCAGTTTGGTTGAGCATCATAACGCATACTGCCATCAAACTCAAGACCATCTGCATTCCTACACATACTCAATCACCTACATTTCCCATTTATAACTCGAATTTATGAGCTACTCTTCTTACTCGGAGAACGGACAACGATCGCTAATTGTCCTACAATCTATTTTTTTACAACCAGTACATCTTGCAAGAAGCTCGTAAGGACGAACTTCGCGGTATCTATGCCTTTTCCCTGTTTGATAAATACAACCCCCACAAGACCAACATACAACAAAAGCCATTTTCTGCCCTCTCCGAAACATTGCAAACGTGTACATATCTGCTGCATTTACAGCCTTCAAGCATGGCCAAAGCCAGATCACCCGTCCAATTCTCCCGCCGCATATTTTGTCTGTGGATACACGAGAGAGGACAAAGTTTCTCCAATTCCTAGGTAACAAATAAAATGTCGATGAGAACAGCAAACAAATATATGATTTGTGCTCAGAACTGGTCTAATTTGAATATCCTAAACACAATTCCAAAAGTATGTGAGGAGTCAAATTCTTTTGGCCAAAGAGTTCAATGGATTTAATATGTACAACAAACAGAAAAATGTCAACAAGAACAGAAAAGAGCTAAAAGAAATCACCAATATTACAGGGCCAGGGAGGACATGATGTTGGTGTTATGTTCCCAATCTCTTAGCACCGCACTCCGAGCAAAATTTTGAGGTTTCTCTCAAATATGCGGCCCCACATTCATCACAGAATTTTGCAGGGGCAGGTGCCTGCTTGTAAAACATATTAAACAAACAGTTGAAATCATGAACATATAAAGAGTAGCCCACCAAGTTTGTTAGGGGGAAAGCCGAAAGAAAAAAAAAACCATATAAGACATAAGTAGTAGTAAACCAGATTTGCCCCCAAAAAAAATTTCAATGAAGGAACAGAGTAGTAGTAACAGTAAATTACAAACATATATATCTTTACAAGATGCAATGGTGCATACTCTGTCCTTTTTTTTTGGATGAATTGTGTGCTCTGATATAATTCTCTGTAATCCCTTAGTCTTAGACTTATAGCGGATGAGTAAACTGACAGCAAAAACCTTGGAACCTTATCAAAACAATACAAAATTAAAATCCTGATTCTCACCATCATGTGCAAGCGCCCTCCTACATGGCCTCCACTGAGGGGTTGTAAGCAAGCCATGTGTTGTGATATAGGTGACGAATGATGAGAATGGGCTAAATCAGGCATATTAGAAGATGAACCACAATGATGGGTGGAAGGAAAATGAGATGCATGTTGACTCTGGTGAATTGGTTGATGATGGCTCTGGTGAATAGGGTGAAACTGGGGCTGATGTGACATTGGCTGCATATCATGCTTCGAAGGCGACTGCTGACTCTGTGGCTGCAGAGAAGGATATAATCAACCAACTACCCAAATACGGAAAACAATTTATAATCAGGACAGCATGAGCTTCTACATCACACTCAGCTGCTAGAGGGCAACATTTACTAGTACGGCAGCAATAGACAAAAGAAAAAGCAGCAAATTCAGACATTTGCACACAATTTAACTGCATAAGTTCTTAGAACATTTGTAACAAGCATCTCCTTGATAAGAATACCACTCGCATCCTTACTCTACCAGCTTTCAAATCAGAATTATTTCTTCGAAAGAAAAACTATCACGATTTTCTTTAGGGAAACAATCCCAACAACACACACACACACACATCAACTGACAGTAGATATGTCTAACCTAGATCCTCTCTAGTCTCAGCACTTAGACAGGATCAATAGGTAATAACTTCCAGATACTATGCTTTGACACAAGCACCTTGAGAAGCAACTTCAGTATTCTCAATAGTCCAGCATTAAACCAGATGTTGGCAAGAGAAGATAGGGCTGGGAAGAAGATAAGCATGCTACGTAGTGAATCACAATGATTGAAATCAATGTCGATCAAACATGCAGAGAAAGATAGAAACCCTTACTTCACTGATGGACCGATACCCTTCTTCGGCAGGGGACATGGCTGAAGAATCTCTTCCATGATATGGCTGAAATAGAAGATAAGCAATTAAAGTAGCTCAATCTTCAAAACAATCGAACAACGAAAATTAGCAAAAAAAAAACATGCACATAATATATGTGCAACTGCAGCCAGACAAATATACAAGCCCAGACGCACAGAAATGACGAGGAAATGTAGGAAAGACAAAAGCAAACATGATGTCAATGTAATGCTATCAAATAAGTCCAGTCATTAATCTTATATTTTTTGAGGCTGGGCATGTCATTAGGTCCTTATCATCGCCTGGAATGCAGAGCAAATCAAACTGTAGAATGGATGTTCCCTGGAAGAGCTTTTCATGAGTCATAAGGCTTACAGGCAGAGTAGTGATATTAGACACGGAACTGGACGCAATGCGCCTATACTTGTGTCTTGGTGAATAGAACTTATAGTCACGAGGAGAAATAGCAACCTCATTTCGACCAGTCAATCGTTTAAACCTGAAAAAAAAGGCCAAATAAGGGGGAAGAACATAAGTAGCACAATCCAAGTAACTGGGCAATATATAAATAGACTGTAAAGAAGGTGCTGGAACACAAAAAGAAGAAGGTGAGTTCATCACAAAAATAGCAAGATTTCTGGATATTAAAGGAAAAGCTGCTAATATATTAGGAAATTCATGACTGGTAGTGCATGAAAGTGGCTCAAGAAGTTATCATGCTATTAAAATATTATGCTTCGCATAAGGAAGAGTCTAGATGGTAGAATGAATAAGCAAAAATCAATGTTCAAAATGCCATCTACCTACATATAATAGAAAGCATAAGCATAGAGAAGAATTTTCTATTTACGCCATATAAGCATATGAAAATTTGATAAATCTTTTATTTGGCACAATTCTGTTCGTTTCTAATACCGCATGAATATCCCGTTGACATATTCAATATTTTGATTTATTGCTCAAATCTCACTATCATTAATTGTAAGAGCATATTTTATTAAGGCCGTGACTCATACTAGATTGGGTCATCTCCGGTTACAATACAAGAACAGTAACCAATGAATTTCTTCTTAATGCAAAGGCATGCCTTGAAAAGGCTAAGACTGAAGGTCCAACACTTCAAGTTCATAAGTTTCATATTGTTAAAAAAGAAAATTGTTTTACCGCACTGAAATTCAGATGAACATTTTAACAAAAATTTGCTATTCTTTGAGCATAAACATCATAACTAATCGGTTATCAAAAAAAAAAACATCATAACTAATCAATTTTTTATGCTTAATTAATATATTTGATTATGAAAAGTATCACAGAAGTATGCATATGTGATACAACTCTATGTGAAGTTTCTATTATTCTAATTTGTAGTGAAACCTTTGTGTATAATCAGTTATATACTAATAATCAATTATTCTCTATAGAAATACAAAGTTTTGATTCCCACATATCATGCGATTTATCGACTAGTTCCCTTACATAACCTAAGAGAGGCAGAAAACTTGGAATGGTGCTGAAAGAGGACAAGAAGAAGGCCATAAACAAAGCAAAGCTAGCTCAGTGCATTGAAACATCTATATAGAAATAGAAGACTATAATGGAATATAAAATTCTTTAATTATACAAGTAAGGTCAATAAGGATGCCCTTACCATTCAGCATCATCAATTGACATACTATCTGGTTTCTCGACAATGTCCAAACCATTAACTACTACAAAGCGAACTCGCTTCTCTTCCTGTATCACTAATTCAGGAAATCTTGTTCTTGTTTCAACGGAAGTAGCCAACTCTCTTCTCCTAAATGTGCAAGGACCTGTCCATCATGAAAGCAATAACAACTAAGACTCGAATGTACAAATAATATGGTTTTTGTACATAGGCGAGGTGCCAACACACAAACATAGGTGATTATCAGCAATTAAACATCTTATTTCACAGCACTATAATAAGTAGGGAAAGTCAAGTCATATTTGAGCTACTCATGCATACTGAAGTTGACTCTGTCTTTTTAGCTCAAATGGAGTTCGAGGAACTCAAGCGGCTTATCGAGTTTGGATACTTGACTCAATCAGCACACAACCGTAATTAAATTTTCTAATATAGTTTTCACATGTCATGTTCAAATGAATAATCAGGAACTCCCTGAACTGGCATGACCAGCTTACCCCTTTTATTAATCGCACTCTTTTCCAAAATAACCCTAATGTCCCTCTTCTCTCTTTCATCTCGTCCTGCAACTCGCTTTACTTATCAACAGCATCCCCCTAGCTATGATCTCCCTCTGCCTCTCCCTCCCTTCCTCTCTCTTCTCTCTTTCATCTCGTCCTGCAACTCCCTTACTTATCAAGGGCATCCCCCTAGCTATGATCTCTCTCTCTCCCTCCGTCCCTCCCTCCCTCTCCCTCCGTCCCTCCCTCCCTCCCTCCCTCTCTCTCTCAAGCACACACATATGTGACCAGCCTCTACCCAGTTTGACAGATTGTTGAAGATGAAAGAAGATTAGTTCATGTGCTAATTACAATAAGAGAACCACCGAGCCTTCTATTCATTGAAACGAAACCCATAGACCTTCACTTTCTTGTCCCTTTATTGTCCATCGGTGCCTAATAATGATTAGGGCTAGGTCCTTTATCTCATTAGAAAGCTTTTCTCCTTTCAAAATCAAAATTTTCTGTGGAATCAAGATTCTTAGGGCCACGGGCGCATCATTATAGGTTATCTCACATCTTAAAAAAATGATTTATACATATTCTAATTAGTGCAAATTTAACTGTAGGTAATTTCCCATGGTTGATCTTACAAAACTTGAATTTTATTCGTAAAAGTCGAGTTGGACTGAGTCAAGCTCAAGCATTCAACTTCCTTGTCAAGTTGGGCTCGAACAAGAAACACAATACTAGATTGACCTCAAGTTGGGCTCAAGCTGGGCACTGTGTAGCCCTGACTCAGGTTGACACCCCTACTAATGACTGGTAAGTGAATAGCATGCCATCCTACCATTGTACAACAAAACCTGAAAAACTATCTTACTTCACAATTAGTCACAGATACAGACTTTAGCCAAATCTTTCCAAGGAACAGCTGTTAAATAATCCTCTGCAGATGAAATCAAACTATTATCATAGGATAAAAAAGATGATACCTTTTTTAGGAAATTTTTTAGCCAGCCTCCTGTATAAACCACCAGCCGCTTCAAGAGCTACTCCAATAGTCTTCTCACGGATACCATTCAACGAAGTGAGCCTTACATTTACATCGCTAACTAAAGTCTCGTACATATTCGCCACGTACATTAGAGGCAATGCAAATCTCGCATCACCCTCAAATTGGACTTCTCTTGACTTCCTTTTGTTCAGCTGGCCTTGCCCAGATTGAGGAGAGAAATCAGGCTCAGGATCAGATACTTGGACCACATGATCAGTAATGAAATGATCCACAACAATTTGCAGAAATCTCGCCCTCGAGGATTCAATAGGTGAAACATCTAGTTCAACATTCAACCATCGATCAGCTCAGGCCAAAAATCACTCCACCAGACTCTGATGATAATAGAAAAGCAACATCTAAATCCTCCCTAACTGCAACTTAAAACCGATCGCAACACAGTATAAACAAACAAATCACCATCGATGGTCAAGACGTCGTAGGAACTCCTCGACGGACCGACTTCCTCGAGGCTCGAGCGATCTTCTTCAGCTCCAACACCATGAATTGGCAGAGAAGCCCGGTACGAATCATGTATACATTCCTGCAAGCACAATGAATAAAAGGAATCTTCACACTCGCCTCCAAAATCAGTCAGAACACAAGTATCGACAACGCAGACGATTAGTAGTAGCTCACGACGGCAGCGGAATCGTCGTCGTTGTCCAAGCTGTCCTCGGTCACCGCGTCCCGGCTGACGCCGCCGATGTCGTCGACGGTGTTGAGGTCGTGGAGCGAAGAAGCGCCGACGAAGGAACCGGCCGCCCTCAGATCGTAGTGCTCCACCGGAACCCTACTCCCCATCCCCGCCACTCCACTCCCGCCGGACAAAGCCCCAAGCCCTCCCCTCCGCCGCCGGCGGTGGCGGCCCGAGCTCCGGCGACTGCGAACAAGAAGAAGAAGAGAGGCGGCGGCGGGATCAGCTCAAGAGTCGCCATCATCGACGTCAAAGAGATTCGATTTCTCGTCCGATTAGGTTTTGACTTTTGCTGGTGAATGCCGAGCTTCGTGGCTGCTCGTGTTGCTTCTGCTATTTGAGCGAGAGAGAGAGGGAGAGAGAGGGAGGGATTGTTCCAAGCCTGAGACCGTACCTGAGGTTTCGGAGAGGCAAAGCGAGCTTCCCAAGCCTGGTTCCGACGCCCGCACCAAATCCCAAGCCGGCGTGAATTTTGTATCGTTGACTCGTCCTGCACTGTTCTTCTACTAAGCAAGATTAATAATATCAGCGATTAGGTATTCTCTATACATATATTTTTTAGATTAGTTTAATTTAAGGAAAATATATAATTTTTTTAATTATAGACTAAGAATATTATAACTAAAGGAGACCCTGATCAACGTAAAAAGCCTGAACGGTAGAATTTTAATTCTAAATAACGATTCGCTCTTGTTAATTAGATATAACGGGACATCCGAAAAAATAAAAATGTGATAAGTACACACAATTCTACTGAACAGGATTAATAGCGGTAATTGGGTATTCTTTATGTATTTTTAAGATCGTTTAATTTAAGGAAAAGAAATATTTTTTTTTATGATAGACTAAGAATATTGTAATTAAAGAAGACCCGGATCGCCATAAAAAAGCATGAACGATAGAATTTATTTTTGAATAACGATTTGCTCTAGTTATATAGATATAACGGGATATCTGAAAAATAAAATGTAAAAAGTACATAAAACTAAATTAATTACTACTTAGCAACTTTTCTTTTTTCATACGTGAATTTTAGTTTGTAGTTTCCAGGGTGTTGAAATGTCAATTAAAATTTGTTTCATGAATACATAATCTATCAGGAAAATTTCAAATAAAGACCTGAAGTGCTCTCATTTTCTCAAATAAAGGCCTAAAGTGAATCTTGTGTTAAATAAATACCTGAAGTACCCTCATTTTGTCAAATAAGGATCTGAAGTGAATATTGTCTCAAATAAGGGTTTGAAGTGGCTATCTCAATCTCAAAAAAAGTTACTGAAGTCAAGGGCATTTTAGTCTTTTAATTTTTTTTCTTTTTTTTTTCTTTCCTTTTGAGTTTTTTTCCACAAAAAACAAACTCATAAAAAATTATATAAAAAATTAGGGGGAGGGCTAGTCGGCGTGTGGCCGTCGCCCCATCGCCGGTGGTGTGACACTCCCAATTTGGACCAAATCGACCAAAGGAAATGGAATTGGCGAGTAGATCGATCCGGGGATCAGTCATGGATCGGCTGGTGTGGTCGGAACAGGTATTTAAAGGATCGATCATGGTTTGGTCGAAGGATCATCCATGGATCGGTTAAGGGATCGATAATGAAATGACTTCCCAGTCACGCAAGTTGATTAGAGTGATTCGACCATAGATCGACCATTCGACCATAAGGGTCGACACTAGAACGATCCCAGACAACCATGGATCGATGTCGTGCGGGCATGTGTCGGTCGCGTGTGATTTCGTCAAACATGCACCGGTCGCGGGCGACCATGGATCGATTCTGTGGTATTCGATTCCACGCGATTACATGACAACCAAGGGTTGATCATGGATCATTGATGCTCGAATATCGATTGATCGCGAATCGACCATGGATCACTGCATTGAGTCAGGTAGGCCATGGACGAGCCGTGTGTCAAGCCAAGAGCCTAGTGGCTTGGTCACGGACCAGGTTTTGTGCCGGCCGTGCAAGCCAGGCATTGTGCCCAGTCATGGACCAGTCGTGAGCCATCAGTCACGCCACAGGCCAGCCCCATGCCCGGCTGTATGATTGACCTATGTGCCAGGCCTTGTGCCCATCGATTCCAGCCCATACCTAGTTCCGTACTGATCAGACTTGGCCACAGGCCATGCATTGTGCCTATCCGTGAGTAAATGCATCTGTACAGCTCATGAACCGTCCCTCGTTAGTGTATCCTGTTCGTATGCTTGGCTCCTCGCTCGTGCAGCCCGGCAGTGCGCTCGGTACGCCATCTGTATGGCCCGGCAGTGTGCCTGACCCTGTGCCCATGCGGCCAAGCCATGTGCCAGGCCCAACGCCCGGTCAGGCCTAACCGAACATGCCATGTACCAGGACAATCCGGCTGGTTCGGCCTTGCGCCGTTCAGCCTGGTCTTTGGCTCGGTAGTGTCCAAACATACTCGGACATATTTTACACCGAACCTCAATTCAAAATGGGATGGTCGATCGTTTATGGCACTTGAAAACTCCAAATTACCTTAGTTCTTTATTGAGTCAAGTTTTAGTGAAAATTGGGTGTTCAAAGGAAGATGTGTCATTAGAATTAAGCAAGGACCCCGAATAATTGAGTGTTCTTGAAATAGGACACATGGTTCACGCCTATAAGCTTCTTGGAACAATAAGACATGTTGACTTGACTAAGTCGCCAATAATTGAACTTGTCACCAATAATGGAACTTGTTCTACAAGAACCAATAATGAAGACCAATCTCCAATAATAGAGCCATAAACCAATAATGAAGCTTATCTTGCAAGACCAATAATTGTGGAGCCTAAGGAGAGGTTCACGCCCAAAGGAATTAACAACTTTCTTTGTAAGTTGCCAATAATTGAAGGTTCTTGAAGAAGACACCAATAATAGAGATAGGGCCAATAATGAAGTGTCTTGTAGAAGCCACCAATAATTGAGTCTTGAAGACCAAGGCCATAGTTCACGCCCAACAAGAGAGTCACGCCCAAAATGAAGAAAAATAGAAGACCAAGTCTATGAAGTTATCGGAGGGTCATTATTAGAGGCTTAGGTGTCTTCTTGATCATTAATGAAGAAGATGAGTCACATGCCCTAAATTTAGGATATGATGACTCTAATGAGAGACTTAGAGGCCAAGTTAGAAAATAAGTGGCCCAAGTTAAAGGCATGAAGAGGAAGATTAATGATAGCTAAAAACTTTCAAGACCGTCTTCATCATTAGCTTAACTTTTTGTTCTTTTTTCATAAAGGGCATTAGTGGACCACCCTATAAATAAGCCTTGTCCCCACTTAGTCTCCCTTTTTCGACACACCATCACCAACTCTCACGCCACTCTCTCTCTCTCTCTCTCTCACACGCCTATCCTAACAACCGACCACCTTTGCTCACGCCATCCTCTCTCTCTTTCTCTCTCACGCCACCTTCTTGGTCCCCACTAGATCTTGCTTTTGTCGAGTAGTGTAAGTAGATTCCCTAATCTCGGGTAGGATGTCACGATACATTATTGACTTGTGTTCTTTCCCGAACCATGATAGGGACTTGCTCGTTGTTTTTTGTGTGCTTTATTGTTGTTGCAAGACATAGTCACGAGTAAAGCATGACTTGGTCGCGAAAGAGGGAACGTATGTTTTATACGCACGTTATGGCGTTTGGATCAAGATTTGTTTGGCAAAGGTTCGATATTGAGGTATATCGGATCCGAGCTAAGTATAGTTTTGTTCAATGCTTGGCGTGTCGAATCAAGTCACGAGCCCTGAACCGTGACCGACATATTAGGTGATCTAGGATCATTGTTCATGAGTTTTACACTTGCACCCATGCCTTTGGCCAATATTGTTTTGCATGGCTATTAAAGAAAAATAAGAAATCGGTTTGATTGATTGCTTGTGACGCATGGACACATGAGAGACTAAAGCCGTCTACGATGGATTTCGAGACGTTGCCTGATGGATTTCGGATGTCTGATGGATTCCAGATGCCTAGTGTATTCCGGATGCCCGATAGATTTCGGAAGAACCGATAAATTTCAGTTAAGAATAAATGAATCTCGTGTGTTTTGTTCTTACATGCATCACTTGTGTACCATGCTTGCTATTCTCTTGTTTGGGGAGTGTTCCATGGATAGCACATAGACAAGGTAAATGCATCTTTGCTATTGATTTGCCATCAATACCGAGACGGTAAGGTTGGACGTGTGTCCGACGACAATTGTTTCCTCCTAACTTGACATTAGAGGATTTACTTATTGAGTCAATGACTCACTCTCCGTTGTTTTTCCAGACTTGTAAGGTGATGGCTTCGCCTGTACACTTCGATACTCCCGTGGAGATGATAGTAGATGTGATCGATGTAGTAGATGCTCGAGATGGGAGAGCATATCGTAAGGTTATCTCCCAAATCAAGGTCGACGAGGGCCTTGATAATCCCATTCCGCATCAGTACGAAGCTTGGTACATATGGACGGAGGAAGGACTGTTTGGTCCCCCCGCGGGTTTAATGACTCTTTTGGAGATGCCAACGGACTAGCACCCGGGAACGACGCAAACGGAGCCTAGGCGGCAAACATGACTTGGCGACGATCGAGCATGTTTTGGGAAGGAACTTTTTTTAGGACCTTTTTGGAGAAAATCACGGTAGCAGGGCTAGGCATAACCCAACCGTATTTGTTATAGCAGGTATACGTGTGTGAATTGGCCCATTAAAAGAAGGGGCTTGTATAAAAAAAGGTTTGACTTGTAAAATATATAAGCTATCATGTAAATACAAAGTTTGCTCAAGATACTTGTCTTAACCCTATTGTTTGTTTTGGTTGTGATTGTCCCAAATTCATACTTCCGCTTGCTCGTAAAGAAAGATAACAACGAACGGGACATCGCAAAGTAAGCCACGAGTCATGGTCTTGACCGGGATGTGACAGGTGAGGCGGCGGCCGTGACATCCCCGATTTTGGGCCTAGGAGCCGAGGGCAAGTGATCGATGAATGAGCGGGTAACTTGAGCCGAGGGTCGGTAATGGAACGGACAATTTAGTCAGAACGAGTGTACTAAAGGTTGGTCATGGTTCGATCGAAAGATTGTCCATGAATTGGCCTAGGGATCGACGGTGGAATGACTCCTGGATTTCGCAAGATGATTAGAGTAATATGACTGTGAATTGACCCTTCGACCATAAGGGCCGTTAGTGGAACAGTCCGGGATAGTTGTGGATTAGTTTGGTGTCGGCATGTGTCGGTCGAGGATGATACCGCACGACCATGAACCGGTCACGGATGACCATGAGTTAATTTCGGGGTATTGGATTCCACGAGGCTACATGACAACCGAGGGTCGACCACGAGTCGTTGATACTCGAACGTGGACCGGTCACGAATCAACCACGAATCATTGTGCCAAGTCAGGTAGGCCATGGACGAGCCATGTGCCAGGTCACAAGCCCAAT